ACGTCTACATTTTGAGACACTATTTGGAACGAACTGTGAACACCCCATATGTATTTCAACTTCTTTAAATTCTCACCCAAATTCAATGTAGGAATAGCATTCCTGTTTAACATTTTTGACCCCATTGCATCTCTTTCAAAATGAATGGAGCATACGAAACAATTGGACGGCGCCGGCAAGTTATCTGTTCGCAATATGTTGAGGTTCTCCCTCCACTTTCTTGCCATTTCCCACTCCTGAGCAAAACAATACATACGGAATGATTCATTAGTATTGTTGCATCCACGCACTTTGCACTTCCTTACGGGCATTTTTATTTTTAAAAATAAATCAATTAATCAATCACAAATTAAAGCTTTGCTTTACACCACCAATTTCGACTTTTTCACGATGTCAGAGAAAATTTTAGAAGAAATGCCATTTTTCCCTCCTTTTGTATCAATTTTGGCACAATTTGAAAGCAAGACTTGACGTGTCTGAAAGGGGACTTAATAGTTGCGATCCCGTACGTGTCCGGACTAGTCAGAAATAGTCCGAATCAGTCAGATTTTACTGGAAATCGATCCCGTACTCGGTTCTCTGACTATTGAGAGGACAAAAAAGAGAATATATACGGTTCTCCCTCTGTCAGAAGTTACCAGTTTTGGTCCGAGAATTTTTGCTGTAGTGTGTTTGGCAACCAAATTGTAAACAAAAGAAAAGTGCACACTGCTAATTCATGTTGAAAAGTATTTAATTACTTGTTTAAGTGGATTCTAATGAATTTTAAAGTATTTTTGGTTATTTGCATGTGTGAGCTGAGTGTGTTTACATACAAAATAAGCAAAAATTTACAACCAAAATTTGGAGGTTATGTTGAAGTTAACAGAAGTTACCATTTTTTACTAGAAAGCGATCCCGTACTTTTCAATGTTACTCTCTCGCTCTGAGCGAATTTTTATTTTTTGACAGATTTACTAGTCCGAGTCCGAGGAATACGGGATTCCACCTATTGAATCATACTTCGCAACTACGTCATTGGAGGAAAACAAATTTTTGACAGCACCATGTCGTAACCTTCTATTCTATGATCCGGTAATTAGAGAATAACAGGTCTACACTTTATCCATTTTTTCCCGGAGAAAAAGTCCGGCTATTCCGGACACGAGAAAGAAGAAATTTACGATCCAATTGTGGAATGCATGCGCTCTCTAATGCCCATTTTCTAGAGTATGGGAACGATTTCCGGGCTATTTCGGTGGTTTTTTGCGTTCCCGTTTTCAAGATTGTGTTCCATTTTCGAAAGCAAACTTTTCGCTTATTCTTTCATTACCGGATCCGGTACGGATTGTAGGGAAATAACCTATTTTTTACGCTCTAATTATCGAAACAGCCCGGAAAGCGTGTGGAACAAACCCATGAACCAAAAATACAAGATCACGCGGGACGGAGAGTAGCCCGTTAAAATCGTATTTAGGAAAAAAGTTTAACGATTTTGACATTAGCCGTTTGTTTACATTTCTTCGTTGTTTACAATTCGGTGGTGGCTTTTTACTGCAATTTTCTTCATTTTCGCCTGTGACAACGTGCGTATACATAAGATAAAGAATAATTTAACACAACGGCATGATTTATAGAAGAATTTGCATAATAAAAATGATTATTCATGCGTTCAACAATTTCGCAGTTTTCTCCGTTCTATTCGTTGTTTACTTACAACAAAGATGGCGTCGAGATTTCGGCAGCTAGAAAATAACTTTTTTCTTTCTTTCCTTCCCGCGTGATCTTGTGTCTTTCGTTCGTGGAACAAACCTACTATAAACTCATTCCACAAGATCCACACACGTGCACGTCAAATTTCCCATATGTCGAAAATCCAAAACAAATGTTTTGCATGGCAGATTTAGCAAAAATCGCCACAATTATTTTGGATATTTTTAACAATTCGCTTGCAAAAGTTTAAAAATGAGTGACAGTGAAAACGAAAGTATTCTAGATCTGCTCGAATGTGCTGAAGAGTATGACAAATTGATGCAGGAAAAACTGATATCGAATAGCAAATCGGACGAAGCGACAATACCTGCAAATTATGATAAAAACAAACACACCGCCAGCCACAATGATACTCTGGAGATACCTATGGAAAAAGTAATTTTTGGTGATAGGAAGGAGTTGCTGAAAAATTTTGCTGTTGCCGTAGGTGAATCAAATAATGACAAACAAAACAACGAGGAGAATGATGGCGAAAGCGACGATGGCATTGAGAGTAGAAAACGCAAACCCGCCTGGACCGACGCAGATGACACGGATATTACATTGGGGGAGGTGAAAAGACGAACCCGTTTCTCAGGACCACTAGATCATTTGCGGAAAGACAAAGCTTATAAAGACTACCTCACAGCGCGTTACGAACGCACAGTGCCCCAACCCAAATGGGCATCGTTGGAGCACAAAAAGGAATTTGATAATTCAGACGATGAGGCGCTTTTGCAGACAGTGGGTTTTGTGGAGAAGCCAGACACAACAAATTTACTGCAAACGCATCTACAATTCAAGAGATTGAAAGATTTAAATCGTGCTTCCTATGCCGAAGGCTCTATAACTAGTATACAATTCATACCTAAAAGCACGGCAACACTTGTGGCTGGATTAAGTGGAATCGCCACTATTTATAGCATTGACGGGGTGAAGAATGAAAAGTTGCACAGCATGCGTTTTGAAAGATTCCCCATCATGTGTGCGCGTTTAAAGCCCTGTGGGACAAAGGTTTGTTTACATACATATATGTTAGAATATTTTTAAACTAAGTACATGTATATTATGTTGTATTAATGTGTTCTGCAGGCAGTATTTGGCTCCACAAAGCGAAAGTACTATGTTTATGATCTAATGAAAGCACAGGAAATGCATTATACAATGCCGAAGGATATTACTACGGTGCGCAACTTCAGAATATCTCCATGTGGACGCTACATGGCCGTTGCTGGTCGTTTCGGGACCCTGCATTTGTTCGATGCCAACTCTCAGGAGCTAATACACTCATTTAAACAAGAGGAAGATGTGGCAGCCATTTGTTTTACCAGCGACTCAAAAACTATCTTATCCAGCTCACTATCTTCCAAGATACACATTTTTTCTTTAACAAAGCAACGTCTAGTTCACAGTTTTAGTGATGATGGTTGTTTGAATGGTAGTGCAATGGACTTATCTTTAGACCAACGTCTTCTCGCCACTGGCAGTATGGAGGGTGTTGTTAACGTTTACGACTTCCAAAAAATTCAATTATCCTTGACGCCGCAGCCCGAAAAGACTTTCATGAATTTGCGAACTAGCATTTCAGATGTAAAATTCAATCCCAACGCTGAAATTTTGGCCATGAGCTCAGCGGAAGTAGCTTCCGCTGTGAAATTGGCACATTTCCCCAGTGCAACAGTTTTTTCCAACTTCCCAGCAGTTAACAGCGATATTGGGAAAATCCGTATTGTAGAATTCTCGCCCAACAGCGGATATTTAGCCTTGGGCAGCATTCGCCAGCCAGTGAATTTGCTACGTCTTAAACATTATAAATATTACTAAAATATTTTTTATTTTTATTTCCGGGGAAGTTAAATAAAATTCGTATAAGCACGTTTTATAGAAAACTGTATTTTAACAAGCATGTACATACATTGAAATATAAATTGAAAATTCCCATCACATGAAATAATTTAATTATAGTAAGCTGATCGGAAAGAGCGCTCTGATTCGCGTTTGAATGATTCATGCATCTTTGTAATATCATCGAGTTTATTAGAAATATTGGTAGTGGATGATTCGATCCACTGTAGTGAGCTCATGTGGGCATTTAAAATTTTGCCAATTTGTATGATAGGATCTGCACTGTCTTGCCCCTTATTCGCCTCATTTAAGTTATCGATGATTTCTTTAAGATCCTCGGACATTTGCTTTAGTTGTGTGTCCAAATTTTCAACCAAGAGATATGTCTGGCTACGCTCTACATCTACCTGTGGCAATTTTAAGAATTCTTTCTGCAGTGGAACAATGCTTTCTTCTAGCTCTTTGTGCTGAGTAGCTATGAATTCCAACTCCTGTTCCAATGTTTGTTGATCGGACTTTACCTTTTGCACAGCGTCATTGAGCTCGAGAATTTTATGATTGTTGCTTATAAGTATCTTGTCCCATGCATTTATTTGCGTCGCCTGGTCAGCAAATACTTTTTCTTGCTCCTCCAACTCTAATGTCCATTTGTTAATATGATCTTCCAATTGATTATAGGATAGATGCGAGGCATTTACCGCAGCTGCAGAATCGGTTGTCTTTGTTGCCGTGCTGAGGTTAGCGAAGCCTCCCGTGGCTGGAGCTGTCGAGGTACTAATTGAGCCAAGTGTTGGGGGAGCTGCAGATGTGGTTTTAGCAATTGGTAATGAGAATACAGGCGCAGCCGTCGCAGATGTAGTGGTTGTAGCGGTGGAAGAAGTTGTGGTGACAGCAGGTAGCGCACCGAATCCAAAACCTGGCGAAGCCGTTGTAGTAGCAGCAGCGCTAGTGGGAGCCACCGCTGCTGAGCTTGCGGTCGGTGCGCCAAAAGAGAAACTAGTTGATGGAGCTGAAACTACGGTTGGCGCCGCCACGGTCCCTGCGGCCGTAGTGGTGGCACCCAGAAAGCCGCTGCCAAATCCAACAGCAGCGGGTGCAGCCATTGATGTCGTTGTCGCGGTTGGAGCGCCAAAAGCCAATGGTTTTACTGTACCTGCGTCTCCGCCACCGGTGGCACCAAAAGAAAAAGACCCTGGTTTAGAAGGAGCGGTTCCACCCGCAGACGCCAATCCGAACGAGAAAGCAGTGCTCGCCGCTGTGGTTGTTGTTGGTGGTTGGAAACTCATGGAGGATTACACTTGTTACAAATGTTGCGGTATAAAGATTTTTGTTTACAAAGAAAATTTCCAGATTAGTTTATTTCACAAAATTAATCGCCGCCATCAACGATCAAAACGAGGGATTTTTCGGAACATGTCAAATTTGGCGACTGGTACAGGGTGGTGCAAGATATTCCAGTTGTTTTGATTTAACCGTTAAAAGAAAGAGACAACCACTGCTATCACCTGACAAGCGCTGAAGAGCGGGTGTCGCAAGACTCGAATAGGTACCAGCGTAGCCATATTAAAACCGAAAAAATATGCACTTCCCACAAAAGATTTTAAAACAGTTTGGAGCTATAATTCAATGCTTTTTGGGTATTTTATAAATGTATTTCGAACTAGTATAGCTAAAACTTTAATAGGACTACTTTCAGTGCATATGATTTTTAAGATTAAAATTGAATTATTAAGTTTTGCATTAATCAAATCATCTGTCCACTCTGGTCGCTGTCAACTGCTGTCATCTTTTTCACTAGCGCTGCGAGAAGTGTATTTGTCGTTTCATCTGCTGCTGTTCGGTTCGTTTCGGTTCGACGAGCAAAGTGAAAATTTTTATATTTTTTAACAAATAAAATATTTGAAAATTTTTCGATAAAACCTTCACAACGCTAAATGAAGGTTATTCCCTGCTAATTTAGATTGCATTTTTTTTTTGTAAGGAAATTGTAACGCGTCCATTCCGTTGTGTGATTGACGTGTGAAATTGGATGTGTCTGCATATCTGCCAAGCAGAAAACGTCGTCGTTGGAAGTCGGTGTCGTCGTCGCAGTCGCAATAGCAAAAGCAGCACCAGTGAAATAGAAAAAAAAGCAACAGAAAGTAGAAAAAAGAAGGCAGGAAAGAAATAAAAGCCAATAATTGTTCAACGCAGGAAGAATTTTCACTTTAGGAATAGCATAGGAGTGTTACAAACTAAACAGCAGTGGAGCGGTGCTATTTGGGAGTGTAATTGCAGTGCAATAAAATTTGCTACACCCAATAGATAAAAATTCTTAAAAGTATTAACGGTTCCGCAAGTACCGCTGTAGCCGTTAAAATGTCTGCTGAACGCGAGATTCCGGCGGAGGACAGTATCAAAGTGGTCTGTCGTTTTCGTCCGCTCAATGATAGTGAGGAGAGGGCCGGTTCCAAATTCGTCGTAAAATTCCCCAACAGCACTGAAGAGAATTGCATTTCAATTGCGGTAAGCTATTTGTGCTCAATTTTAATTTTTAATATATAAACTTGATCCTTTGTGCCATATTGAGTAGTTATGCGATTTTTATTTGCGGAATACCTAAACACACCCCCACTTATTGGGCGATGACGTCATTTTTACCCTATAATATTCCCAACACTCATGATGCATAACAAAGAGCTGGCAGAATCGGAAGGTTGGGTTATTGGGTGTTGCCACCCCACTAGGTGAAATTTCATAACGATGGTGATATTTCATTCCTGGTGGTGTTTCATTCCTTCGATTAGATTGTTATTTCAATGAGTTTTTAAGAAATGAACATGGGAAAGAGCTAGCTGCGTTTGTGCATGGGTTTGTTCTTTTAGATTTGACTAATAAAAACTGCTTCTTATGATCGCTTTTATTAAGGTGCCGTCAAACGTGGCAAAATGCGAAACCGAAAGTCTCCTTTCCCGTGTAAACAGCCAGAAAGCCCTTTTTGCAGATTTGCAAATTTGCAGAAATCACTTTCGGAAATAAATATTGTGTAATTATTGTATTCTCCTGATATGAACAATATAAAGGGAAATCTTTAGCTATTGGTACAACGATTTAGGGGTGGGGGACGTAGGGGAGGAGGCGTGGCTCAACATCCTCCCACCCCCTAAACGAAAGAGGATGGACGCCGCTTTATGAAAAGTTACCCCTCACCCACACTCACAACTTTCTGCGTAGGCGGCCTTCGGCCGCGCTTATGGATTATAACCCTCTAACTGGAATTTTCCTTTCTGTTTTGCTAAAGAGGGGCTGAACACCTTTTGCAGAGATATTTCGTGGATATTTTTTTTTTTGACAGCTCAACTCGGAAACTTGCAAAAAATACCATATCTCCAACCGACATTATTAATAAATTAGTGCACAGATATAGTAAATTTTATTTTTGTAATATATTACAGTGTAAACAGAAGAACAGGAGAAGCTCGGCCAAACACTAACATATGTGTAAGCGCCAATCCATTATTATTATTAAACAGACAAAAAGTATCAGAAAATTTATTTTTCAGAAATAAAAACTGCTTTCGAAAGCCACTTTACATGCAAGGTGTAACTGCTCCTGCAATCTCTTGGAAATTCTCGAGTTTGACAGACTTTTGAAAAGGACTTGCACTTGCCACGTCCAATAGCTACTTGAATGCAAAGTATCTTTCGGAAGCGTTTTTATTTCTGAAAATTTAACTTTCCGATGTCTACCAATTTTAGCCTGTTTACACGGTGAATGCAGACGAGTCCACTACCATCTATGTTATAGCAAAATTAATGACCTGAAAAATTTACTAAACCTGCTAAAATGAGCACAAAATAGTCATTAAAGGCTGGTATGTAGCTCTCAAGAAATCGGTCAAGAAAAATTTGCCATTAATTCGTGTGTGTGTCCAAGGAATTTTGACATTTTTGATACTTCACAGCCTGTTGCCTCACTCTTTCCTCAAGAAATAATGGAACGGGCATATATTTCTGTTGCAAACCTGGGTTGCCTTGTGCTCTTTTTTCACAAAAAACTTTAGAAAACCGTAGTAAAAAGCGTAGCAAATTTCTTAAGAACTGCGTACTGCCTGAAGGAAATTTGACTCAAGAAAATTTCTTAGCCATTTTGTACGTCATTTTGTATGGAATTTTAGCTTTTCTTGAGAACTGCATACAGGCCTTAAATGTTTAATACATTAACACTCAAACAAATACTCCATATCAATAGGATAATTTAATTACACGTATTTTTCATATTTTATTCGATATTTTTAATTTTATACAAATTCGCCAAAAAACGCGTCAAACGGCAAAACTCGATTGGTTTAACAGCACTGGCAGCAAAAATGAAAATTGCAAGTTGAAATTATTTCTCAGAAGCGATTTGCGTATTTTCAGTTGCAGATCTGCAAAGAGGACTTTCTGGTTGCATTGCCATGTTTAACCGCGCCTTTAGATTTCGTATTCATACATATGTATGTATACCCAAGGTCAACTAATTACTACCGAAATTCAAAGTGATTTTGCTTGCAACTTAACAGAAACTTCATATATAACAGTTTCCAAGCTTACATAAATTTCAAAAAAAATAATCAAACTTCAAAAAATTGTCATCAAAATTTCAAATCTTTAATTAGAACATTTAGGAAATTTTCGGGTATCCAGTTTTGTAGCCCATTCAATTTTAGTCTAATACAGTGCAAGTTTCAGGTCGCGTTGGTTTATAAAACGCCTGCTAAAAAACCTATCAGATTTTCCTGTTCGCGTACACATAAATCCAGCAAAGTAGGGGAAACTGAGGGATCAAATTGAAATTTCATTCTGATGAAAATCTGCTAGTTTCTGCTGGAAAAATTTTTGCTAGCAGCCTTTTGCCAGCTGATCAAAGTTATCTGTTTTCAATTTATGAAGATATGGAAATTTATTTTAGATTTAGATTTAGATTTATTATTATGATTTTTAAGTTTGAAATAACTTATTAGAACTGCAAATATGTATATCGGAAGAAAGCAAATACTCAGTTACTCATGTTTCCTTAGCAAATTGCTTTAGAAAAACTTTTAATATATACTCTTTTCATGTTTTATGCTTTTGTATGTAAACAAAATTTCGACCAAAGGTACTAAAAACTTGCAAGCTTTTGCTAGTTTTACGTTCGTGTACTTTTGCTAACATTTCTCTCTTTGAGAGAGAACAGAAAAAATGTCATTTTCTGCTGGAAGAATACGCGAATACACCTATATCCGTAACAGCACCTTGATTTTAAGGGTATGAATATGTATAAATTTATAATAAATATTAAAAAAAAAATTTTTTTCTTGGTTTTGTCGTAAATATTTGCATTTTACTTTAAAGTTAAGTGATTTATATACATACATTCGCTCTCAGCACTTATAAAAGGTTCATTTGCAAAAAATTAAAACAAACTTAATAATAAAAACGCTTATTTAACACTTAATATAGTTACTTTAAGTTACTTTTAAAAGCACTTACAGAAATGTTTGTTGGGATACTAACATGAGGTTGGCTACATTAGACATTTACTTCGATTCAGCGCTTATCGGCAATTTTGGCGGATATCTTTGAAGACCACTCCTTTTGTAAAATAATAAAAATACATACATACAGATGCGTGCAACTAATTAGCAACGAAATTCAAAACAATATTGCTTGCAAATTATGTTTATTTATTTATTTTTAATAATTTTCATTTAAAATATAATTCAATCTATATCAGAAACCACAATAACAAAAGTTGCAAAGCTTGCACAAATTGCAAAAAAAATTAATCAAACTTCAAAAAATTGTCATCAAAATTTCAAAATTTTGAATTAGAATATTTAGAAAATTTTCGGGTACGCAGTTTTGTAGCCCATTCAATTTTAGTATAATAAAGTGCAAGTTTCAAGTTTTGATCATGTATTATATGGAAGAAAATGCGCAACACCCTCCACAAAAAAAATTCTAAAAAATCGACGGTAATTTTTAGCGACTTGAAACTTGCACTTTATTATACTAAAATTGAATGGGCTACAAAACTGCATACCCGAAAATTTTCTAGATATTCTAATTAAAAATTTTGAAATTTTTATGACAATTTTTTGAAGTTTGATTAATTTTTTTGCAATTTGTGCAAGCTTTGCAACTTTTGTTATTGTGATTTCTGAAATAGATTGAAATATATTTTAAATGAAAATTATTAAAAATAAATAAATAATCATAATTTGCAAGCAATATCGTTTTGAATTTCGTTGCTAATTAGTTGCACGCATCTGTACATACATTTAATATAAACATTGGGCTTCGTTAACAATTCGAAAATCTTAAATCTTTTTTTCAAATCTCACGTTCGTTATGAATTCGAAACCCT